AATCCTGTTTCCCAAGATTGAGGAATAGTAAATCGTTGTTTGGAATACGGGCCATATATAAGCTAACACTAGACTACAATTTTTTAAGTCCATTTACTGAATTGAACAAAAGCTTTTGTTTAGATTTTAGGCTGTTGCTGTAGAAACTGAAATCCTTCGTTAAAGTATATATTTTAGATACAGCGATATGTATCGATGTAGACAAATATATATCAATTCCTTCTTAGAAATTCGCGCTCCAACCGGATGATGCGGTAGCGACTGAAGATCTACTTCAGTAGAATTGGATGCTCGATCTTCGCGAAAATGTAAATGCAAAGACTATATGCAGAAATTAGTTGTTCAATTCCGCAATAATAAATCCAATAAATAGCATCTGATCCAAGAAGCGCTTTAAAGAGCTTTTATACACCTTGTGTTCAGACACGCCCGAGGCCAGTTTTTAAGCTGAGGAAAATATTAGCTCCTCGCAGCAGCTTGCGAATGGTTCTGGCATTCAGGCAGCTTTTTGATAGCTTTTTAAATTCAGAGCTCTATGCTATGGAGGTAATTGTATAAAATTGTAGTATGCAAAAGCCCTAAACTTATGGTTCCTGACGAATCATAAAAGTATCAATCGATCTAAATACAGAAGAGGAGAAAATTCTTTGCAAACATTTTAACGTGCATACAACTGCAACTAGAAAAATTGTTATGACGGACGTGTTCGATTCTTACAAAGGATAAATCAAAACCAGTTGTACTTTACTTAACAGAAAGACAGCTGCGATGAACCGGCCGTAAGTTCTACCTCTAATGCTATTTTCTATACTTAGGGTAATCTCTAGAAAGTTGAATGGTCGTTTTCCTATTCTCGCGCTTTTGGCGTACGCGAAATTTCTGTCCAAACTCTTGACACTCGCGTAGCTTACTACAGCTAAACATATTTATCTGTATCTGGGGACACGGCAAGGCCATCGGTTGACCACTGCTACGTTGACGCCAATATCGGGTTCGGGAAGTGAAGAAAATTAGGCTAGCAGACGCATTTTACATCAGAACAAGATCACTGGTGAATCAGGTTGATGCGATAGTAAACAGAGAGAGTCCCAGGGTCTAGGAACGAAAGCGCAACAGAAAGGGAAGACTGGTCTATGCGTTTAGTTCCAAGTGCTTTCCGGCTGGGCGACCACGAGGGATCTAGCTAATCCCTCCATTCGGTTGCCTAGGGAGCAAACGTGGCATGTGCGTCGATTTGTATGCGGGCATGGACGCTCTCTCGAAATAGACTCCCACCTTACAGGAATCGGGTGGCGTTGCTGGTAGCGTAGTACTTTTCGGCTTCGTAAAATTTGATGTAGTCACCCATTGCTCTTCCCCCTTTGTTCCATTGAGATGCCTAGGAGCACGTTGGCCAAGCACTGGGTGACTGAGCTTTTCGCTTTAGATCGCAGCGGGGCTTTCGCCGTATGTGGCAGCCTTTGCTTGCTGTTCTAATCTCGTTCGCAGCGTTTGCCCGTAGCCGCATGGTGAAAATAGGTCGCTGGCTTGTTACGGCTTCACAGAGCGTAGCGGACCGTCGACGAAGTAATGCTCTCCGCTAAAAGAGACTCAAAACCTTATCTTGTCACCCCATTAAGCTAACAGCATAATTCATTCGAGATACAGATAATATAGAGTAATAGTGAAAACCAGAACAGTATTCCTGATTGAGGTAGCTGGGTATTACTGGGCGTGCGTGATTAGAGTCAAACACTCTACGGCTTGAGCACGAGCACGGAAAGAGGAACTGGGAAGTGCGGATATTGTTATATAAGTCTATTTAAAGCGCCCTAATTATTATGATTTAAAATAAAGATGCATAAAAGGACACTCAACCATACGCACATGATAGCCTTCTATATGAAATCAGAGTGCAGACCTAACTAAACTGGAAAGATGGCAATTTTTTAGCAGTCCCAGAGCAGATAGTCGACAATGTTATACAGACAGAGGATAGCAGGCTTTAAGTGGAGTGCTCTGCTCTACGGAAAGATAGACATTAGTATATATGATATAGAGAGAAAAACCGGGCCTATACTGCAGAGATCCATGTTGGATTTTCATCCACAACATTTGCATTCACAGCTGTATGACCATACGAAATAGCCAGACATGCGTCCACTCGCCAAATCTCACAATTTTTTCTATAAAATATACATAACAAAGTACCATGTTTGCTAATTTCTCGTCTATGCATGCGATAACACTAGCTGTCACTCAGGGCAATGCATAATCGAAAAGAACAACTCAAAACCTTATTATTTCTATCATTGCTCTTTTTTTTTTTTTTCTGAAAAAGTGCGCCATGATTGAATTGGCCAATTTTCAAGTAAAACTACAGCATACAGACATTAGTAACGGTTTGTGCCACACTCTCACGCTTGTCGAGCTGTTTCATTACTACAGTAAAAATCAAAGCGGTAATGATTTAACTTAAGAGTACGTCGGTCGATTGACATCTTCGTTATGAGCTAATTTGATCGATGCAACAGCAGCAGCAGCAGCAGCAGCAACAACAACAACAAAACACGCTTTGTCGCCTGTAAAAAAATGAATTTTTACTGGAAGCTGTGATGGAGAAAAGAAATTTCGTAGAATCTACGAACTTTGGCTGACGCCGGCGCTGGAAGCGAATGCTACTTGTTTATGACTGCAAACTTAAACTAATTCTGTCCGCCAGATTAACCTCGAAAAGTATCGAAAAAGGTTTGAAAGACAAAATAAGAGAGTGAAGCATCCTGTCTGCTATAGCTGATCCCTTGAAGAGTCGTTGCATGCTCTTCTTCATTCGTCTTGCCTTTAGTTGTTTGAAACAGCTTGTCAATAGACAGGATTGATGAAGGAAGGACTTTCGTTGGCACCTCTACCTATGTATTTACTTGTATGTGTTACCCGCGCAGTTAAGTATACGAACCTTGTTATTGTACTTTCCTCTGTTCCAAATCGATGCATCCGGCCGGACGGCAGGCGATATAGGTAGCCGGCATGAGAGAAATTGGTAGAACAGAGTGAATGGCTTTCAAAAATTGATAGTATGAATATCCTAGGATTCCTTATTCATTCAGGTCAGGCAATTATTCAATTTCGTTTTGCATATCGTATTTTTTTCGGGAACCTCATTTTTCGGCATACGTTCTGTATGACAACGGAAAAGATGGACTATATTATTATTATACCAGCGAAAAGCATCACTGTTTTAAGTGATACACCCCCCGGCCTCGTGTCCGAAACCAGATTACACGGAACCGTCCCCTTGGAACCGCCAAATTCAATACGGATAGGACGCTGCAGAACGCAGGTGCTTATCTTGTTCATACCGGCATATTCCGCCGTTTATCATCCGCGCTCAAAGCTAACTAACTAAGACGCGCACATGTTAAACTACTTTCTGTTCTTTGTACACTTTGCCGTTCTAAAACAGGACTACAAAACACATGTTCTCGATTTTTATTAAATAAAAATAGGTTTTTAAAAATGTATCAATGCCGTATAGCCTAATGATGCACTCGAGTAAGCTCAATGCGTCGTATACGATTAAAATATTTAGATAACCTTAGCTTGTCCTTGCCACGTAATATAAACTTAGAGAAATCTTGCTCTCAACCAAGCGTCTTTGTTTTTTTTGCTCATGCCCTATCAATTTTGCGTTTGACCTAGGCCCATGATAGTTTGGCGGGTTACCTATCTACCTGCTAATATTAATAACCCGTTGCGGTCTAGATTCGAAGCTGGACATAGGCAGAATCTGTTTCGCGCTGGAAGCCAGTTGCTTAATAGAACGCCCACTGCTAATACTGGACGTAAAACTCAAAACATAGAAAGACTAAACTATCACATCGAGAATTTTTGCTTAGGCAAAATCTCGTTCTGTACCCTGGGGTAATCCAATGTGTACCATTGATTCGGCACAACCCACTTTAAGGTCTTCCGCGGTGCTCATTAGCATTCAAAATACGAGCATATCAATCATTACCTACGATATATTTAGTCATTTCTGTTAAATTTGTTTGACGTCTCAAAGCTCCCGAAGTAAGTGTTTTATTAGTACCAAAATCCCGCGCAGAAACTGGGATACCTACGTTTCTATGTTTTAAGTAGACTCAGCTCCTTGCTACAAATCCTTGGCCTTTTAATAACTAGTAATTCAGCTAATGTCTGTTAGATAACCCAGCTAGATTCCGTTTGCTGTTGGGCTCGGCATATTTCGACAACGAGCGCTCTCTCCTCTTCTCGGTCCAAAGGACATAAGAGCATCAAAAAATGAACCCATTTTCTGAAACCGCCTAAAAAGATTGACTTCTAAGAATCGTCTGTTATGGACAAGGTCACGCGATCTGGTAGCATGCTTAAATGTGCAATCGTGGGAAGTATAGCTCACTTTCAAGTAGGTAGTCGTTCAACGAGGGACGCTAATAGATGTTTTACTTTTTCTGATTCTGTTCTTATCTGTCTTCTTATGTAAGGGTTAGTATGAGACGTATATTAAGAGAAGCAGCTTAGGAAACTATCCAAAGTTAATAGTTTATACAAATATCCTAACACCCCCTGATATAATTTAAACGGATACCAACAATAAGCTCATGTCTTAGGTGGGCAATAGTGAAATATTGCCTATACAAAGTAGAATTCTCCTCTATATTGAGCCTTTCCTATTTATTCTATCCGCTATTATCGACTTCTGTTGTATTTTTCTATTCGCGAGTCGGTCTGAAGGAAAGACTTACTAACGACTGTCTGCTTCCGACTGGCTTGTTCCGCACTTGGTGTGAGTATCCTAACAAAAATACATATATCAGACCTGAGGCTTGTAGTCTACACATTTTGCGGATTGATCATACTGACTGAAAAGGAAGTCACCGATTTTGAATTCGTCATTTGTACGCGGTTGCTATGGCAATTGAGATGAAAAAAAAAAAAAACAGAAAATGAAATCTATTATTAACTGAAAGCTATGCGAGACAACAACAACTAAGACTTACCATAATGTTCGTAGTGCCGATAATTCGGTCTGTAGGCGCTGTGCATCTTGTACGGGGCCGATTGTCCCCTTTCGGTATCCGGCAACCGAAAATTCTCTGCCCACCGATAGACTATTTGACAAAAAGTTATATCTTGATGTCGATATAGTTATCCGTTTAGCATATTTTGTTCCTGTTCCTTTTTAAGATCGTCACACAGTCGTATGATAACTCCTCAAAGACGAACACAGTTCTTCCTATTGGTCGCGCACAACAGTCTCTCTCTATATCAACCGACCTGCACAACTCCTCGGATCAAGAAGGCTAACTTTGCCGATGCACAGTCATGAATGAATTAGTGAAACACGTTTTTTTTTTTGCTACGAATATGTATCATCAGCCTTTAATCGACGACATTGCTGTACTACCTTAGCTAATTTGCGCTCATTCATTGACGTTTCCGACCTGCAATATTCTAACACTGATCTCTATCTGTATAGATATTTCTCGAGGCGTTCTTCTCACATATGCACGCACACTTTCGTACATCCTTTCATCGTCAGCCGACGGGGTTCAGTGACAATTTCCATCTCAGATTATCATAGACACACCCTCCACTCGCTCAATTTCCTAATAACAGCCGCTATTGCAGCGTGTATTCGCTGGACCCAGGCCGGAACTCCAACATGCTTGGATAGGTCGAAACTAGGGCCTGTGACCCTTAAGAGCGGCTACAGGGGTGGTAAGTTGTTACCTCAGTGCGTCTATTGCATCTGTTCTAACCGCTCTAGCTAGTACCGGCGTCCTGTCTGACGAAGGTGCTGCACTTGTGTCGGATCCGCAGACAAACTGTACTGCCGAAGCACGGGTAACGGAGCAGCGAAAGTAAATGCGAAGTCCGCACACGCCGTCGATATAACCTATATATTTTGGTGAAGAGAATTTCTCCCAGGCGATGCCGCTAGCGCTGGTGGCAGGGGCTGCTACTGCTGCGGCTGCCGTCGATTTCGATGCTATAAGTCGTAGAAGTCTTCGTAGTGGTAACCCTCGTAGCGGCCCTGATAACGGCAGCGTTGCTTCTATAGAAAGAAACGACAGGAGCTGATGCGCTTGTACCAGCAACTGCAGTTCAATCGTGGTGGAGAGGAGAAGCCATTTGGTGTTTAGCATAGAACTCATCCACGTTTTCCTTATCCAACAACTTCCACTCCGAAGTGTTGTCGCGCTGTTGTGCGTGTCGTCGGAGACAGGGCTGAGATTTTCGCACGAAATCTCCGCCGCCCATAAGAACAACAGGAACAGCGGCGGCGGCGGCAGTGAGTTATGCATGTTGTCCTTACAGTAGCAGCAAATTCGATTGCAGTAACAGGTGACGAAAAGAAGCCCGCGTGATGTTACTGCTGCTCAGCGGTAATGACTGCGGGGCATATGCAACGTCTGCTGCCGCAACGAGAGCATCCCATTGGGGTTTCTTATCGATGACCTAACAGCGACCGATGAGCAGAGGCTGAATTACCAATAGAACTACGGCCGTAAAGCAGAAATCTTAGCATGGCTTAATTGTACATCACCACTATCCCTTGCGTCCGTTCGTTTCATCGCTTTACGGTAGCTTAGAACAGCTAAAGCCGATAAAGCAGAGCGCCACCGGAAAGCTATGAGGTACAATATAATGGCAGAGTAAGTAGTACCATGGGAGTGGAGGCTGTAACAGCTACGAGAGCCGTATTTCTAATGACGTTTCCATAAGCACTCGCTACGTAACGGCGGCAGCAGCCGACAGCCGCTACAAAATAAGAGCATTAATTCAATCCAACGTGTGCGGTAGCGGTAGCCGCAGCCAACGTTTACCACGAGTGTCGCCCCCACTGGTGCTGTTTTGCCTCACGTCGTGATCACCACCATTATGATGATAACAATTATCATCGACATCACCATAACCACTACGATTATCATCAGCATCGGTGTCACCCTGAAATGACGGATCACCGAAACAGCAATAAAGCGTTTAGATATGCCAAGTGAAAGCGGGCAGGCTAAATCTGAAGGAACAGCCCGGCGGCTTGACACTTGACACTTCTCGAAAAACACAAAAAAAAAAAAAAGGAAAAAGGCTAGAGGAAAGACGGGAGTAAAAGAAACGAAAACGGAGCCAACGAAGGAAAAACTATGACGATAATGATTGTTTTACACTTTTCTCACATAAAAAGAAGCCCACACTTATAAGTAGACAGAGGCACTGAGTCGTGGAGCAGAGCTGGGCATGATCCAATATGCAGACGCTTACCGGCCTATAGTCGGCTGCGCAGGCGTGAGACATTTTTAGAAAAAAAGACAGTGATGACATTTTTTTATTATCAATTTTTTCCTCACCTATCGACGCAGGGGTACTTGACCAGAAAAACTAAACGCAAGGACGCACACCAGTGGCTGAGCGATAAAGACTGACAAAAATTATATTAGAGCTCGTTTTTGGAGTGACCTCTCGTAAAGAAAGAGATGGATTATTGATTGTAGTGGGGATTTTTTTTATGAATATCAGTTCACACGTGTATAGTTTTGCGTGTGTCATCTATTGGCATGTCAAATGATTCTAGCTGGAACCATAAAAAGAGGTCGTAGTTGAAGATCGCATCTACGTGGGCACACTATTATATATAGAATATCTTTTTTTTTGTTCGTTTTATAGCATATTGTATAACTTGGCTTCGACCTTTTTGCCCTCGCGGGGCTTCTGGTCGGGAGCGTTCGAGGGGTGAAATGTCGAAAAAGTAGTTTTACCGCCTTTGTGCTTAACCGCTGTAAATTCGTTGCGGGTGCGTAGTTTCTACGTGGATAGTGCAACAAAAGTGCTAACGTAGATTTGATGATTTCCTTAAGTGGAAACGATGCCTCGTCCCCACTTATTTCCGGTGTTAAGCTTCGCTTAAAGGTTTCATCAAATTTCCGAACTTCTTCAGAAATCCGTTTTATTAACTGTTTTTAAGTGTACTAAAAACTCACTAAAGTATCATTGAGTGAATATTATCAGCACCACAGGAAAAAACATTTACCAACAGATATTTAGTTTTTTTTACACGATTTGATTTTTCGTTGCAGATAACGCAAAGGCCAAAGCCCTTGGCAACACCACCGTCGCGTGCGGAAGAAGACCATATGACCAAATCAATCAATCAATCAATCAATCAATCAATCGATCACTCAGTGGACATGCATGAGATAGATAGGCAAGCACATTATATATATTTGTGATCATGATTACATAAGGCTACGTTTGGTAATGTAATCCCTATGACCATGTTGATGATACGTCCAGTACGATGTACTAAAGCATCATCAAGCACTTTCCCTTTCAAACGAACGCAAAGGTGTTCTTGTTTCGGTGACTGGACTTTCTTTGATTGGTTGATACTTTACGAGCAATTGTATTACAAACGGTTTCCTGCATGACTGTTATTAGTTTTTACATAATGATTGGGTGGAACCCGTATCCCGTATCACAGTCTCGTCAAATGACTCGAACGAATTCAATGTTAGTAAGGTAAATTGCTAGCAGGGCTTGACGTTCTAGAAAGAATTAGCCTCGTTTCCGGTGCTGAGTGACAAATATCGCTGGTAGGCTATGATAGAAGATCGTTTTGAAAGAACATAGCCACTGGCTATATTGCTCGGAAGCCTTCTGACAAGCTTTGTTTGGCTCAAGGCGCCCTGCCTCAATTAGTGCTCAAGGTCATTCAATTATTTTCATCTATTAGAAAATTTTTCATTTATTATAAAATGATCGAAACTAGATAGTCACATACGGGAGGACGATCTGTCTGGCAAGGCCGTATAAATGGACAAACGTCTTCCGCTTGCCAGAATCACCTTTGCTATTCTATTTGGAACAGTATGATATCTTGACAAAAAGTTACAGTGGCGATTTTGGCGCTAAGTTGGTCGGCATTAGCGTTTGGCAGACACTCCATCTGTGCTTTTGATTATATGAGCGTGCCGACTAATCATCTACACAAGGGAATCAGGGCGTTTCGATTTTATCTTTCGAGTGGGTGTACGTATTATAAAGTATTATCGCACAGAGAATTTGACCGAAACTGTCCTGACCGGGCTCTGGGCAGCTGGCAACACCAAGCGGTTGTTTAAGTTCATGAGATTTTCGGGAACAAGCTAAGAGCCCACCCAAGATAAGGACTTCCAGGGGGCCAAGTCTAATTGAGCGTGCTACAGTGACTATCGCTGTACTTGTTGTGACCACCGTTCCTGTCAAAATTAATTGTTTTCCATCACAAAATCGAATTATGTTTCAATCTGAGTTCGCAATGCAAACGAGCCCTTGTTCTCCTGTTACACCTTTAACATCGTCGACAGGCCTTCTCTTCGGTAGGAGCTTGTGTGCGTTGTAATCACGTTAAGATTAACGGCGGCCGCCAATAAGAAAAAATAAAAAAAAGGGCAGAAGAGCTAATTTTTGAGGGCTTGAAATAATCGGGTGAATAGGTTACATGCACCGCGTTACTCTACTGTGATCTTCGGCTTCGATGGCTGTTGATTGAAAACGGCAAAAATCCGCTTCTTACACTCAATCTGTTAGATCATGAGGTGGCATAGTCTGGACACGTAATGCGTATCTCTTTCATTGCATTGTCTTCAGACCTATGAACGCGCGGCCATTGTTGGTTCAATTTTTAGCGTTGCAGAGGTTTACTATAGTGTTTGTTTTGTACTGTAGGTCTATTGGAGGGAAACAGGGTATACAATAACCGATGAAAGAAAGACGGCAAAAAGCACCTATATTGGCGCGAGTTAAAAAAAACCGGCTACATCATATCAACCATTATAACTTTATTATACCATCATACCGCCAACGAATAACGAGAGACAGACATTCAACGCTTCCGATAAAGCTAACTTTGAGCTGCCCATTGATTTCTTGGATCTTCTAGATCGTCCGCTCTTCAATTCGCGTTTTGTATCACTTTCGAAATAGGCAGCCTGAAATTCTACGAAATAAATAAACTGTCAAAATGTTTGGTAGTAGGACAATACTAATATATGCTGGCCACAATGTCGCCTTCGTTCCACGATTCATTTGGTCATACCCAATTTAGCCGCGGTATCGAGATTTTCTATTAATTTTACAGCCACCCTTTCCTATTTCCTTCCGAACTGCTGATTTAGACAATAACGCTAATCTTTTCGACGCATACACTTGTCGTTTAATTGGAACTTACTCAAATCTGAACAGGCTTAACAGTCCGTAAACTTCGATTTATAAACTTAACATCTCGGGCGGGAACGCAGGCAGGACAAGTTGGTTTTCTGACTGGGTAAAAGAAAAATTCAATTTCAGAACTGGACAAAATCAACAAAACTAACCACAAGCTGAGCCGCCCATCGCTCAAGCAAAGCTATATTTCTAACGTATTTCTCTCTAATTTCCCCCCGGATTTTTATTCACGCCTACACCTGTATTTGCTAAAACGGTCCTGATTATGGTAGAACCTTAGCAGCGCAATTCAACGATATCGATTCGTAGTGGATGAACAATGGTTTATACAACGGTAAGCATTTATCGATGATATACTTTGTTTGCCTCTGTGCCGACTGGACGTAGATGAGTCCTAACTAAATTAATATAAAATCAATTGGTTCCACCGAATAGATGGCCAATTGTCGAAGTTAACGACAACAATCTCAATGGCGCGTTTGAGCTGCGGAAGAGTGGACTTGGAACTGGATTTTAAGTCAATGATGGAGTGTCGTGCCTTTCTTTTACTACCATAATGTTGATTGTTTTTTTCTATGTCTTGAGCTGGTATTTTTACTCAAACTTTTATATATGTATAAAAATCAT